AAATACAATAATGATTTACATATAAGAAGGTTGTTTTAAGAGTGTTCAAGATGAACTATAGCATAGAGCTTTACACTTTTAAACAATGAATTAATAAGACCTCATAATAAATCTACTATGATTTGTTAATTGTATAATTCTTGTTCAGTTATATTTGGGCTTTTAGCATGTGTATTTGGACCTGGGTATTTTGCCTATATAAAGGGTCATTGTGTTTGTAATTAATAGAGCAATAATAATATATTCTGTTAGATAGTTAGTTACAATTAACTAACTCACAATTTCTCTCTCTTCTTCTTCTTCTTCTTGTTTTCACAAAATCATCTTTCTTGAATCCTTTGTTCCAACAAATTGGTATCAAGAGCTTGTTTGCGATTCAGAGAGAATCTAATGGAAAACAAGCCAACAACATTAACACAGTTTCCAGCGAATATACTGGTTTTCAAAGGTGAAAACTATCAACGGTGGGTTGCGCAAATAAAGGTTATTTTCAGATTTTAAGATGTCGTAGAAATCTTGAATGATTGAATATCAGAACTGGAAGTAGATGCTACGGAAGCCCAGAAAACTGCACACAAAGATCAGAGGAAGAAAGATGGCAAGGCGCTATTCTTGATTTACCAGTGTGTGGATTGTGACATATTCGAGAAGATAATTGAAGAAGAAACAACAAAAGGAGCTTGGGAAAAGCTGAAATCTTTGTATGGTGGAGATGAGAAACTGAAGAAGTTGAAGTTACAGACACTGAGGAAGTAGTACGAGATGCTTCAGATGAAAGAGGATGAATCTGTTTCTGCATATTTTTCAAGAGTTGTAATGATAACAAACCAGATGAAGGCATGTGGTGAAGCGCTTACGGATCTGCAAAAGATAGAAAAGGTATTGAGATCCTTAATTACATATTTTGATTACTTTGTTGTGAAAATTGAAGAGGCCAAGAATCTATCTGAGATGAAGTTGGAAGAACTTCAAGCTTCATTGGAGGCTCACAAAATGAGGTTGTGGCAGAGAAACTCAGAAAGAGAGAAGGCAGCTGAACAAGCATTGCAATCAAGATTCAGCAAGAAAGCTGGAAAAGAGAAGTCAAAGCAGCGAAAGAATATTGATGTGGTGAGAAGTCAAGCAAGAATACTGATTCGAAAGGTGTGGGCAACAAATATTTTGGGAAGAAAGTTGACACGAAAGAGGTGCAATGTTACAATTGTCAAAGTTTTGGCCACTATGCTAGAGACTGTCGAAGAAAGAAAGTTGTGAGGTCGAAAGATATTGATGAAGCTCAATATGCACGAGCTGGTGATAGTGATTTTGATGATGTGTTGTTGTTGGTGAACACTCAGTCGACTACTGAGAAAAACAACATGTGGTATCTGGATTCAGGATGTAGCAACCACATGACTGGCAATAAAAACTGGTTTACCAAGTTAGATGGAAGGCATATCAAATCAGGTGGTAAAGGAGATATTTCGATTATCAGAAAGGATGGTCGAAAGTCTAATATCACTGAAGTTCTATATGTACCTTCGATGACAAGTAAATTGATAAGTGTAGGTCAATAACTTGCAAAAGGCTTCAATATGAAGTTGGAGAATAATCAGATGAAGGTATATAGGGCTGATGGGAGGCTAATAATGAAAGCACAATTGGCAGAGAACAAAACGTTCAAGGTTGAACTCAACAAATCAGATCACAAATTTCTTGCTTCAACTACAGAAGAAGACAAGAACTGGCTATGGAATCACAGGTATGGACATCTAAACTTCAAGAGTTTATATATGCTCAATAAGAAAAGAATGGTGCTTGGGTTGCCGTATGTGAAGGAACCAAAGCATATATGTGAGGAATGTTGCAAAGCCAAACAAGCAAGGAAGGCGTTCAAACGTGACTTGCCTATAAGATCAAGGCAAAAACTGGAGTTGGTTCATTCAGATGTGTGTGTACCCTTTGAAGTAAACTCTAATGGAGGTAACAAGTATTTCCTTACTTTCATTGATGAATTCACCAGACATATATGGATTTACCTTATTGAGAGGAAGAGTGAGGTATTCACACAGTTCAAGAAGTTCAAGTTGCATGTTGAGAAACAAAGTTGCTGCATATTGAAGAAGTTAAGAACTGATGGTGGTGGTGAATATAATTATGCTGCATTTGCTGGATTTTGCAATGAATAAGGTATAAAGCATGAGGTTATTGCACCCTATACGCCTCAGCATAATGGCATATCTGAGAGAAAGAATAGAAGTGTACTGAACATGACGAGATGTATGTTGAAAGCTAAGAATATGCCTAAGAGATTTTGGGCTAAAGCAGCTTCGACAGCAGTATACATTCTAAATAGATGCCCAATGAAGAAGATGGTCAAAAAGACACCGCATGAGGTTTGGACAGGGTCGAATCCAAATGTAAGTCATCTTAGAGTTTTTGGATCAATGTGTTTCAGGCATGTACCTGAACAATTGAGAAAGAAGTTGGATGATCGTAGTGAAGTCATGATGCTCATAGGTTATCATTCGACTGGTGCATACAAGTTGTATTCACCAATCGAAGATAAACTAGTGATCGGTAGAGATATTCTTGTAGACGAAAGCAAAGGGTTGGATTAGAGTCAAAGTTCAGTTCGACAAGAATCAGACACAGTCACAACTGTGTTCGAAGAAGATGAATAGAATGAAGCTTCAACAAGTCGAAATGAAGAACCACCTGTGCAGAATGAAAGAAGATCCATAAGAACGAGAACTGAGTCGACTAGGCTGATTGGATATGTGAGGTTTCTAGATCAAGCAATCGATGCAGATGGTGACTTAATCAAAGAAGCCATGATAATGGCTGAAGCAGAACAAATTAATTTGGGTGAATCCTTGAGCAATTCGAATTGGCGTGAAGCCATGAAAGAAGAACTTAGAGCCATTGAGAAGAACAAGACTTAGGAGTTTGTCAAAAGAACCAACAAGAAACCAATTGATGTGAAATGGATCTGCAAGGTGAAACAAAGGCCAGATGGTGAGATTACAAAGTATAAGGCAAGACTGGTGGCCAGAGGTTTTCTACAAAAACCTGGTATTGACTTCGATGAAGTATATGCACCTGTTGTGAGGATCGAAACAACCAGGATTGTTGTTTCGATAGCTGCATCTAGAGGATGGAAAATGCACCAACTTGATGTAAAGTTAGTATTTTTGAATGGTCCATTGGAAGAAGAAGTCTACGTTACTCAACCATCGGGTTTCGACGTTAAAGGGCAGGATTTGAAAGTTTACAGATTAAGGAAGGCTCTCTATAGGTTGAAGCAGGCTCCTAGATCTTGGAATAAAAGGATAGATAGCTTCCTAATCGAAGCAGGTTTCATAAAGTGTGTCTCTGAACATGGGGTATATGTAAATGATGTTGAAAGTGTCAATCAAATCATTTTATGTCTCTATGTTGATGACTTACTCATTACAGGAGCAGGCGACGTTGAGATAATGAAGGTAAAGTCGAAGTTAATGTAGGAATCTGAAATGTCTGATTTAGGGAATCTCTCCTATTTCCTAGGAATGGAATTCAAAGACATCGAAGAAGGAGTTTTCTTGCATCAAACGAGGTATGCTCAAGATATACTGAAGAGGTTCAATATTAGCAATTGTAAGGAAGCTATTACTCCATTAGAGACTGGAGCAAAGCTGAAAAAGGAATTGAATGATGAGTTTGTAAGTTCGATCCTTTACAAACAAATCATTGGATCCTTGAGGTATCTTTGCAATACTAGACCAGATATTTGCCAAAGTGTAGGATTGTTGAGCATATTTATGGAGAAGCCTCAAGAATGTCATCTCATCGCAGTGAAGAGGTGTTGAGATACATAAAGGGAACTATTGATCATGGTGTATTGTTACCAAAGAAATCCAAGAACAGCTCAGATGTCGAAGTTCATGGATACACTGACTCAGACTTCAGTGGAGATCAAGACGAAAAGAACAGTACTGTAGGTTACATTTTCATGATCGAATGAGCTCCAATCTCCTGAAGTTCGAAGAAGCAAAGCATTGTGGCTTTGTCATCATGCAAAGCAGAATATGTGGCCGCATCATATGTTGCATGCCAAGCAGCATGGATCGAAATGCTACTTGAAGAACTCAGAATAATGGAATCGAAGATAAAGTTGTTTGTTGATAACAAGTCAGTTATAAACCTTGTGAATCACCTAGTGTGTCATGGTCGAAGTAAGCACATTGAAAGAAGGTATCATTTTCCGAGGGATCAAGTCAACAAAGGGAAGCTCGAAATAAAACATTGCAAGGCAGAAGTGCAACTAGCTGACATATTCACCAAACCTCTAAAGAAAGTGAGGTTCGAAGAGTTAAAGAAAGGTATCAGAATGAGAAGTCTCAAGAACATGAATTAGGGGGTGTGTTAGTTGTATAATTCTTGTTCAGTTATATTTGGGCTTTTAGCATGTGTATTTTGGGTCTGAGCATTTTACCTATATAAAGGGTCATTATGTTTGTAATCAATAAGATAGTTAGTTATACTTAACTAACTCACAATTTCTCTCTCTTCTTCTTTTTCTTCTTGTTTTCGCAAGATCATCTATCTTAAATCTTTTGTTCCAACATGATTAAATCATAACTAAATATATTCTCTATTTATTTTTGAACCATAGCAAACAAAAACGAGGAACTCGGTATTGAGCAGGCATCATCTAGATCTAGCAACAAAGTTGGCATCATCTAGATCTAACAACAGTTTTGGCCAGAATGGGTATCTTTTTATATCATCGTGAACATACATAAATCGACATTGAAGTAATGTGTGTAGAAATAATAGAGTAAACACCTAACAAGAGAATTCATAGCAAAATATATATTCATTCATAGTCAACACTAATTCCACCTTTCAAAGCTACAACCCAAAAGTTAAAAAGTGAACAAAATACACCACCTAGCTAAACAAGCAAAAACAAGATACTACATTAAATTTATTATAAAAAAATCCCATGGTACCAAAGAAAAGACTCCAACAATTTTCTACAACGATGAAGAAGAAGAACGTACGTCTTTTTCAATCTGTGTCATGAAAGACGCAAACTGTTTAACAAGAGCCACAGATTTCTCCTTCCTAGGATCAAACAAATGAAACACATGTCCTTCACCTTCTGTCTCCACCACCTCCACAGAACCACTCCACCCACTCTTCTTCACTGCCTCATAATAGCTCTTTCCTCTTTCCACCAGAAAATCCTTCTCCGCGACAAGCACTAGCAATCTCCCACATCCAAGACTCGAAAGCTTGGGATCTTTAGAAGCATGTATTATCGGGTCATCAAATCCTCCATAACTAGGGTACAAAAACTCTATAAGCTCGTCTTTATCATCGTTTCCGAAGTAAGGATGAATCAAAACCATTCCTCTAAGCTTCAAATCTCCAAAGCCTTGAGTTGAGCCTCTCATGGCCATGTTATGTGCGATATTCGATCCAGCGCTGTCTCCCGCGAAGAAAACAATGTTATAATCGGCGTGGTCTTTCAGCCAGGGCTCGGAGGATTGTGAGACCCATTGAATGGCTTCCCATGTATCATCATAACAGATAGGAACGGGGTGTTCTGGAGCTAGTCTGTAATGAACGGAGAAAACAACGACGTTGGCATGTAAAGCGACGTTGTTGAGGTGATGGTGGTAGCCAGGGTTGAAGGGAGTGCAGATGCAGAAAGCGCCGCCGTGGATGTAGATAAGAAGAGGGAGTTTTTGAGAAGGAGTGGCGTTTGGTGGGAGGTAGAGACGAGCTCCGATGCCGGTGTTTGTGTTGATGGTAATGTCTTTGGATTGAACGGCGGTTAATGGATCGGTGCCGGGTGGAGTGGTTTCGGTGCCGAGAAAGCGTTCGACGCGGCCGTCTTTGTAGAGACGGAAGAGGTGAGGGAACTCGCGAACGATTTCGGTGGAATTCAGATCCATGGCAAGAATTGAATGAAAAGTGAAAGGATGGTAGAGATTTATATTTCTTGAGATAGAAAGAATGGAGAATGAGGGAACACTTTAACTGCTTTGTCTTTCTTTAGGTATGACTTTCGTGACTTACGTTTGGCTTTCCATTCAAAGGTTACAATATTCTCTGATCTATTTTTTTTTATTTTAAAGATGGTTTATTATTCCCTCCATCTCATATAGTGTCTCAACACACCATTTCATATAAATATATTAAGAAAACTGTAACACACCATTTCATATATATATTAAAAAACTGTAAAAAGTAAGTAAAAAATAATAAATTAAAAATATTTATTAGAGGTATAATTCAAAGATTAAATATAAAATTATATTGTTAATGTAAAGAGATAAATATTTTAAAATAAAATTTTTTATATGACATTTATTTTAGGAAAGAGAGAATAATATTTAATTATTATTAATTTAAAGTTATACAAAATCGACTTAAATTGGTAACGTAAAATAAGTGAGAAGAATATGTGATTACCTAAAAATTTCTGAATAACTGAATACAAAAATGTAAGAAAAAACGAATGTGTATTTTATATTAACTATTGTTCTTTCCATTTTGATGTAATTATATTTGAGATGTATTGGACATTAGATTGTGGATAATAATATTCAGTTGAAGAATAGTCTTATTTTTGAAGTTTATATATTGGAATAGTAAGATCGAAAAAATAAGAAGGAAGATTCTTAAAGAGAAGATTGTGAAATGGAAGATAAAGATTCTATATATGTAGTTGTATATCACATTACATGTTTGTCAAGTTTTAAGGATATAATTTTTGTTAATAGATCGATTTGGAACTATAACTAGATTTATTTTGAGGTGAATTGTTCTGAATTGATATAGATGATCTATAGTACGGTGACATGGAGTAGATCTGCAAAATTAACATTAAAATTAGTTTAAGATTTAAGATGATTACAGTGAAAAGTGGATATCAGAAAAGTGTACTTTGTATTTCGCGTGAGATGACTTTTATACTTTGGATCATATGAAGTGGATTGAACTTTCGATCTGGACCGTTAACTAATGACTGACTTCCCTATAAAAAATAGGTTTTGCCTCCAAAGTCCCTTTTTCGCTTTCCTGTTACTTCAAGTTTATTTCTTCTTCCTGGGTTTAGCTCTCTTGCTCAAGCGTTTGGACTTTTATCTCTTACATATCTATGACCTCGTTTGTTCTCCTTTTATCCTTTAGAAGTATGTTTTTGGCCAACCCATGAACAATATTCTCGAGCTTACCAACAGAGAGTCTTCATCGTCTATGGGAGTGGAGAACCCCGAATTTATGGAACTTCTATACGATCAGAGCTTTCATGTTGCGTCCTAGATATGCCTCAAGGTGACTTTGCATCGGGGTTGGATTCTTCTTGTGATTACTACAATTCGCAGGTGAGTGATATTATCGTTCGCACCGCTTCTCTGGCTCGTGTTGAGTATAGTTAGGGTCTAGTTTGGTCTGACATAGTGACGCGAGAAATTGGTTTCTCCATTCAATCTCTTGGAGAAAACCCTTCCTTTTGAGGCCCTATCGCTACTGACCTACCTGGTTTACCTTGTAATGCAGACACGTGATTTGCTCAACTGAAGGAGTCAATGGCGGCAACGAATGTGGATGATTATTCATGGGTGGACCCTGAGTACATAGAGACACTTCTCACCAACACACATGAATCCCTAGTGAGCGTATCCTCCTTCGAGGTGGGATCACCCTTAAATTGGATAATCTCAGTGATCCCTGCTGACAAACGGGTATGTAGTAAGTTTGAAGGGTGTTTTATCCCTTTTATGACAACATCTTCCAAAAGTTGGGGGTCTGACTTCCGTTAGCTGCTTTCGAGAAAGAAATATTGGATCATCTTTATATTTCTCATTCGCAACATCATCAGGTTTCTTCGGCCATTGTGAGGGTATTTTAGTAGGTATGAATACCTGGGGGGACACAGGTTTAGCCTCCAAGAACCTGTAAGAACAAGATTTAGTTCTGCAATATTATCTCTGAGTTTTGATGATAACAAATGAGTATGTTTGTATGAACAATTTTGATACTCTAATGTTTGTTATTGTTGAGTACTTAACAAACAGGTTCTACTACTGATGGATGGCGTGGCCAAGACATTAAAAGAGAATTGGTCTCGCTTCTACGCTACACAAGTTCTGTTGAATAGTAGCAAGACACTCCAGAAGGCTCTGAAGTGTAAGCTCTAATGATGTTCTAAAGAAACTAGTCAGAAGATCTGAAGACTCAAGTTTCTACTAAAGTCCAGATGTTAAAGACTCATGTTTCTAAAGACAATGTGTTCCTAAAAGACAAAGTTAGAAGATCTGGAGACAAAGTTTCTACTAAAGTCCAGATGCTGAAGGCTTGTGTTTCTAATAACAAGGTTCTAAAGATAAGGGTTATGAAGACCAAGTGTTGAAGACTCTAAAAGACAGAAGGTCTAAAGATTCTAAAGACTTGAAGTTCTAAAGACCCAAGGTTTTAAGGAAAGGTTCTGACAACCAAGTGCTGAAGACTCTAAAGATGCGGTTTTGAAGACTCTGAAGACTTAAAGTTCTGATAACCTGATGTTATGTTCCTGCTTTTAAACTCATGCTCACAGAAGCCTCTAAAGTGCAGAAGGAAAGAAGATAACATTAACGTGGTACAAATAGTACATGTTACAATCAACATTTCATTCCACTACAATGAAAGGAAGGACGTGTCGCACGATCTTGTCCCCCACGTTACTATTCAAGCTGCCAATGTTTATGGAAATCCCAAGAGTATCCCTCAATATATATATTATTTTATTGGCTATATAAAGGCTTGAAGACTAAGAGAGAAAGTTGCCAATTCACTGAATAATCACGTGCAAATGTTGTTCATAGCTTTCACATTCTCAAGTCACTATTCATAAAATAGTTTACACATTCAGCTTTTTAGAAGCAATACTATTGTAAACAAAACTTGTATTCAAACACTTCTTTAATTTTCCTTAAGGAATCGGGTAGGTCTGTATTCTTCAAAAGTCTAGAGTTTGCGAGTTTTAAAAGTTGTTAGTCAATTGCGGGTAGCTTGTGCATTGTAATAATCAGGTTGATTATTGTTTGATATTCCTTAAGAGACCAGGTAGGTATGAATCCTTAATAAGTCTAGGGCTTGCGAGTCTTAGAGGTTGTTAGTCACTTGCGGGTAGCTTGTGCAAATTGTAATTAGTTTGATTATAGTGAATTAAGTCCTCGATTGAATGAGGTGAAATCACCTTGACGGATGGACTAGACTAACTTGAAAATTTTCAAGTGAACTAGTATAAACATACATTGTTCTTTACTTTCCATTCTTACTTATTGTTATTATCAAAAGTGAAGGAGAAATCATTTTAACTTAAAGGGGAATATTTTCAAAGAATAGTTTTGTTTTTAAAAACCCAATTCAAACCCCCATTTCTTATGTTTTTCACACCTTCAATTGGTATCAAAGCTCCAGTTTTGAGGAGATAAAAAGTTTGAATTTTTATCAACACTTAACAGTATCCAGTACCAATCCAGTGTGTGTAAAAAACCAATGGCTACATCCACTTACACTGTTGATAATAGGGATAATGATAGAGACCACTATAGTTCAAAACCTCCTATTGTGATGGGGAGAAATTTGACTATTGGAAGGATAGAATAGAAAGTTAATTTCTAGAATATGACTTGGATCTATGGTACTTGATAGTTGATGGCTACACTCACCCAGTATATGATAAAGGTCATAAGATTGCAAGAAGTGCAATGACGGAAGCACAAAAGAAAATATGTAGAAATCACTACAAAGCAAGAACCATTCTTCTAAGTGCTATCTCATATAATGAATATGAGAAAATTATAGATAGAGAGACTGTAAAGTCTATTTTTGATTCTCTTCAGATGACACATGAAGGCAACACACAAGTAAAAGAAATAAAGGCTCTGGCCTTAACTCAAAAGTATGAAGCCTTCAAGATGGAAAACGATGAATCTGTGGAAACAATATTTTCAAGATTTTAGACTCTTGTAGCAGGACTTAAGGTTCTGAACAAAGATTACTTCACCGTAAACCATGTTTAAAAGATTATCAGAAGTCTGCCTGTTAAATGGAGACCAATGGTAATTGCCTTAAAATTGGCAAAGGATCTGAACAATACCTCTCTTGAGAAGTTGATTAGCTCTTTAAGAAGTCATAAAATAGAGCTGGAATAAGATGAACCTCAGAATAGGGTAAAATCAGTTTCTCTAAAGTCTACTTCTGGGAAAACCAAGGCTTATCAAGCTAAGGAAGAATCAGAAGAATCTGAAGAAGATTCAGATGATGATGAACTGTCTTTGATATCCAGAAGAATAAGTCAAATCTGGAAGCACTGACAAAGCAAGTTGAGAGGTCAAAGAAGGACATATGGAAGAGGTGAATCCACTTCTAGTCAGAGAAATGCTTCTTGGAAAGAAGTTACTTGTTTTAAATGCAACAAGCCTAGAAATTACAAAAATGATTGTCCAAAGCTTAATAAAGACAAGAAGCCTAAAAAGGCTTACAAAGCTAAGAAGGGTCTCATGGCAACATTGGATGATTCAGAATTAGAAGATGAAGATTCTGATGAAGAACATGAAAACATGGCATTCATGGCCAGGACCAGCAAGGGAGAACCAGCATCAGAAGAAAAATTGACGATTAACTATGAGTCAGACTCTGATGACGACAAAGAGGTATTTTCTTCTTTATCTCGTTCTGAACTTGAAATTGGTTTATCTGAATTAATGAAAAGGTATCAATCTCTTCTAAGTAAACACAAAATCTTGAAAAAGAGTTTCATAGCTACTTTTGAGAACACTATTATAGATGAGCAAAGTAACTCTAACTTAAATGAAAGACTATTTATTTTACAAAAACCAAACATTGCTCTGAAAAGTAAAGTGTCTAGATTAGAAGAAGATGTTCTCTCTAAAACATCTGTTAC